TTCAGACGTGTGCTCTTCCGATCTAACCTGAATGGTTTAAGGGATACTATTTTATATTACACATCTACTATTCTAATATATCGTACATGTATATAAATTTTTTATCATATCTTAAAAGCTTCTCTAATAATAATATCACAAAATTGTATAATTAGTTATTATTCTTCGTATACTTTCAGGGATTTCTATGCAACACGTATAATAAAAAATATACAAATGCATTACTTCCTTCTATACTATTGTCATTAACTGTTATTTAAAATTTTATTATGTATTTTTTTTTGCTCAACAAATGAGATTTTGTTGACGTAGTGATTGTTAATTGCTTATAACTTCGGCAGGTGAAGTGTAATATAAAAGTTGTGGGATTAAGCGAATATGTTGTAGAGCAAGACGAAAACTTCAAGTTTGCTTAGTAGACTTGTCCACGTATCGTAGAAGGGATAGGTTACCTGAAGTTCCTAAATAAAAGTATCGTAAACGTATAAAAAATTATTCCTTACCGCTCGTGTAACAATACCGGAGTGGTTTCCTAATTTGAGACCTCCTGGAGCATACCCCGATACGGTTTAAGGGATAAAAATCTTATTGTGCACTAAAATCATATGACTAATGATCTACGCTTAAAAATACGCGTCTTTTTTTTTTAATGTGTTTTTTTCATTTATAATCATTGATTCATCATCTTTACTTTGTAAATTTGCAAGAAACATTTATTGTTAACAAAGAACATATAATATACTTAAAAAATTATAAGAACAATCATTTCATGGATTTATATTTTATGCGAGAATCACTATAATTACAGCGACAATATCCTATTTTTAACCCAACTGAGAATTTTTGGGTTCAAGGAGCCAAAAAGTTTGAAAAATAATTTGGGTAGCCCTGTAGAAATGATAATTTACCTTTAGAAAACGATAATATTTTACTCAGGAAACGAAACAATGTTTTACTCAGGAAATGAAACGATAGTGGTTTGCCCTCAAAAAACGATAGTATGGTGCCGGAAGTCTATACTCAAAAATGTTTCAATTGTGTGTGACCGTGGTTGGCCAATAAAATTAATGTATTTGATGAATTGCGCCGAAATATGGTATTTTTTAAAATGTTAAAACTTTTTACAATCAATTTTTTTTTAAAAAACAGATCGATAACTTTATGTGTAGGGCTGAGTTCTATAAAGTTAACGGCCAGTTTTTAAAAAAAGTTCTTTAATGAGTTATACAGATTTGAAATTTGGACATTTTTCGAATCGAAATAACTTTCTATAGAAGAACTTTTTAAAAAACTGACCGTTAACTTTATAGAACTCAGCCTTATATATAAAGTTACCGATCTGTTTTTTAAAAAAAATTGATTGTAAAAAGTGTTTTAGCATTTTAAAAAATACCATATTTTGGCGCAGTACATCAAATACATGAATTTTATTGGCCAACCACGGTCACACAAAATTGAAACATAGACTTATTTTACTCTCAGAAAATGTTGGCGTTTTACCTTCAGGAAACGATAGTGTCTAAAATTGGATTGCGAAGCTTGCGGACTGCAAATAGTTTATAAGTTATCGTAACTAAAATCTGAAAAGTATATATGGTGTTGCAAATGAATTCTGCATATAGATATATGTCTAATTAAAATTTGCATCAGATCAACTTTTAAATATTGAGGTTTATTAGGGTTAGAGTGAAAACTTATACTAGAGTAAGAGTAGGTATTAGTGGGGTTATATTTATTTTGATATTAGTTGATGCATAACATAGATATACTCACGAGCATATAATCCACAAATATTAGAAATTGAATTTCAAATATTGCTTTCAGAAAACGATAATATTTTACTTTCAGGAAACTATAATAATTCATCTTCAGAAAACAACAATAATCACTCTCAGGAAGCTTTTCGCATAAAATCTTGATAATAATTCTTCTGTTCTTGGTTTACAACAATCAACCCGGGATTTCGGTCTCAGAAAACGAAAATATATAACCTTGTATTTCTCAGTAATTGACAATATTCGGTTATTTGGATTAATTTGGTTTGGTAGAATTTGCCGACAATTTGTCTCTGGAAAATATTAACTATAGATCAATCCAAGTCTCAGGAAACGATGATATTTTACTTTTAGAAAATAATAACTCATCTTTAGAAAACAACGATAATTTGCCCTCGGGAAGCTTTCCGAATAACACTTTGATAAATAATTCTTCTACTCTTGGTTTAAAACAATCAACCTGGAATTTCGGTTTTAGAAAACGAAAATATATAAATTAGAAATTGAATTTCGAACACGGCTCTTAGGAAATAATAATGTTATTTTCAGAAAACTGTAATAATCCACTTTCAGAAAACTATAATAATTTACCTTTCAGAAAACTATAATAATTTACCTTCAGAAAACTATAATAATTCACCTTCAAAAAACTATAATAATTTACCTTCAGAAAACTATAATAATTCACCTTCAAAAAACTATAATAATTCACCAAAAAACTATAATAATTTACCTTCAGAAAATTATAATCATTCACTTTCAGAAAACTATAATAATTCACCTTCAGAAAACTATAATAGTTTACTTTCAGAAAACTATAATAGTTTACTTTCAGAAAACTATAATAATTTACTCTCAAACATATAAATTATAGTGATAAGCCTGGACTTTGAGAAAAAAAATTAGAATCCAACCAGTATGTTAAACTAGAATATTATTAATCTTTCTGTTCGTCATATATATAATTAACTTTTTACTTATATTAGACAAACAATAAGTTTCAAATTTCGTTTTCGGCGCCAACTGGTCTAAATTGCCCTTTACGTTGTAGTATTAAGATTTGTTTTATGACAGTTTTACTTTTATTAAGCATTGTGCTTTTTTTTATCATAAAATAAAAAGAAGAG